GCCCAGAAACTAGCTTTAAAATTTAAAACTAATTTAATTTACAATACAGACAAAATACTGTCCACTTATTCTTAACAAAAGAGGAAATAAAAACAATCCACAATGTATTCAGTTGTTACTATTTTTATTATTATTGTTGCTCTCACAATTAGAAAACACAGTTAATGCTGCTTCCATGAAGAGAGGGTAATTTGTTCTTTAGATGAATAAACCAAAGCTTTGCTGAGATATTTAATCAAACTCTGTCTGACTGATGAAACTGTTCCTGAGAGTAAAACAAAACAAAATATGTTGTGCATGTTAAAGTCATTAATCTCAGGTGGATTTTAAGTTTCCTGTTCTTTCCCCCCCTCTCCCAAATCTTGTTTTCTGCTCCATCTCCCTTGCAGGGGAGAAAGTCATGCCTGTTATAGCTCCAGTCCGCTCTTGGGAATAAAACAATGGTGTTTCACACCCCCCTGTCTGATGCAGGGAAAGGCAAATCCTTTGTCATGGGGTGAAGGTCTAAAAACAATCAATCCCAGGCCTGAATTTTCCTCTTGTTCCCCATATTCCCAAGTACCTCCAGAGCCTCCTCCCAGCCCTTTCTTTAAACAGGTAGCCCAGAGCTGGGCAGCACAAGCCTGTCTCACTTGGAGGATGATAATGGTTGTCTACAGGGATCTGTTTTCCGGCAGGAAGAGGGATGGTCCCTCAGGGACTCTTTTATCACTTTCCTGACAGAGACACTTCTAATTGTATTCAGATTGTTTTCTTCTTCCCTCGCTCCCCTTCCCCTCACCAAGGGCTTTTCCAGCTGCAAGTGAAATATTGCGGGCTGCCTGCTGTAGTATGATTAAGATATTTTCTCTTTTTGTCTAATAAAATACACAATCAGATGGGAGTTTTTTATAATGAATGGCATTTGCCTACCTTATGGAGAAACCTAAATTATATAAAACTGGAAAGGGTAAGGAAGGGGGCGGATTAATCAAAAAATACAAAGTCAGCCAGATGTATATGGGGTCTAAAACCTCAGATCTGAAAATAGGATTAAGTCCAAACTGTTTTATTAAATCATAGATTTTTTTTCCAAATTAATTAAATAGCATAATACTCTTCAGGTTAGCTTTGCTGTTTCCATCAGGTGTAATATTGTAGAGCTGTGAAATAATAGTGTTTGTGGGAATAAATCAGATGTATTTTGCCAGCTAGTGTAAACCAACAGTACTGTGTAATATGACATGGAGCTGGGCCAAATTATATCAGCTGCTGGGATGTGTAAGACATGTTGTAAGAAGGGAACTACAGCATCACCTGACAAAGACATTCACAGTAATTAAAGACATTTTCTGTAGTAGCTGAAGGATCTCAGTGTTTCAGAGCAAAGCCTTGAAAACTGCTTGCTGAAGGCCTGAGAAAGGGAAGGAGGGATGTATATTCCTTGCAAAGCTGGTTTGGGACAAATATCTTTCACACAGCACGTGCATGTAAAATTATAGAATCATGGAATGATTCAGGTTGGAATGGACCTTGAAGATTGTCCAGTTTGAACCCCCTGCCACGGGCAGGGACACCTTCCTCTAGACTGCAAAAATAACTTGGCCATTTTGTTTTGGTTCCCTGTTGAATTAGTAATTGAAACTGAGAGATGTGACACTTTTCTGGCCTCTCTGTGCTTTGCTGCTGATGCAAGGAGTGAAGCATCAGAGACAAGTTGCAACAAAATTGTACTATGAGTTCCAGCAGTATGGCCCTGTATTATAGGTACTCTCTTTATTCCTAGTTCTTATTAAAGGGAAAGGAAAGCAGAAAGTACTGTCTTCTGCTCATAGAAAGACATTTTCTGAAAAAATTTGGAAATAACAGAGCATCCAGAGGGACATCATAGAATCACAGAATGGTTTGGGGTGGAAGGGACCTTAGAAGCTCATAAGACCTTGGAAGTAGTGGACCTTAGAAGTTCCACCCCCCTGCCATGGGCAGGGACACTTTCCTCTAGACCAGGCTGCTCCAAGCCCTGTCCAAGCTGACCTTGGACACTTCCAGGGATGGGGCAGCCACAGCTTCTCTGGGCAGCCTGTGCCAGGGCCTCATCACCCTCACAGGGAGGACTTTCTTCCTAACATCTAATTTAAACCTACCTTATTTCAGCTTAAAGCCATCAAGCTGCTGAGATGGCCCTAGCTGGCTGGATGAAGTAGGCCTATGCGACAAGGGAGGCTGCAGTTTATCAGACCTTGCCCTGTGCATGATTCTCACCTGAGGAAGGTACACCCCCCTGGGCACACTCCTAATGCAGTGTGCAGCTCTCCAGAGAAAAAAAAGGGCCCTGAAATTTAGAAGTTATGGCAAAAGCAGTGTAACTCTGTTAATTCATAGACTAACAGCCTAGGATAGGGGCTGGGGCCACACAGACTCTTTTGTCAAAGTGAAGTTCAGATGAAGCCCATGATGGATTATCTGGAGAAGCCAGCAGAGATTTTGAATGTGGCTGCCCCAAACTGCAAAACTCCAAACAATTCAGCCATTTCAGGTCAACATCTTCAGTAATGGACATCTGTGGCATGGCTAAAGTTCTGCTGTGAGTTCATTTCCCACCTGATAGACCTGCAGATGCCTAATTGGTTTACTCACTTCTTTTAATTACAGGTGATGATTTCTTCTGACATGAGAAAGCCAGTCACGGGTCTGACATGAGAGGAGTGAAATGCAGCTGAAAACAGTGTATGCACAGACAATTTCTTCCTTTTCACTAGTTTTTCACCAAGCAGAAAGACTCATGACATCAGCAAGGGAGCAAGAAAAAGAGTCATTACAGATTGGCATTGAAATGCTCACATTTTTCTTCAGTCAGAACATCTGTGCCTAGTTGGCATCATCAGAAACTGGAAATAAAAATAAAATTCCTTAAAAGAATGAGAGTGGATGGTTTCTTTACATATCAAATGAAGCCAAATTCTGGCATTGGAGAGCAGTGGGATTTGTGCCACCAGTCTGTCTGCATGTCAGCCTAAAGACACCCACCACTCATCACTACACTGCAGAGATGTTTTAGTCCCTCAGCTTTTATGAGGTGACAATAACACAAACCACTGTTAAACTATGAAAGCTCCTTTTTTTTGCCTGCTCATAACTGGGGGATGGAAGGAGACAAGACCAAACCCATTACAGCAAAGCAGAATAGCTGAAGAGAAAAAAATGCCTCTAATTTTGCTCTTATAGCACATGATGCTTCTCTCTTCCATCTCCCCAGGGCTGCTCACAGACATGTCAGAGGCAGTTGCCCCCTAGGGATTGACTAAGTGGGGAAAAAAAAGATTTGGAGAAAGGTTGTGGTGTTACTGACATATTTTCCCCTAGGAAAGTGACAGAGTCCCTCCCTACATTTGTGTAGGAGTGATTTTTTTGGCTGCTTACAGCATTTTGCATGGGGTTGGGGTGCTCAAAAATTATCTGAAAGACATCAGAAGTTCTGCTGCCTTCTGTTCCTGGAGCAGCATCCTTCTCCAACGTCACTTTTCATAATCAGTACACAGGGCTGGAAGACCACTAAAAATAAACCAAAACAAAAAATCCCCCCCAAAACCCCAAGCAAACAAACAAAACAAACAAACAACCTAAATCCCCCCAAAAACCCAAATGAAACAACAAGCAATAGCAAACAAAAAAGCAAATAAGGGATCTTAGGCTATTTTAAAAACTCCCCTGCACAGCAGCTCCTCTCCATGTGCAGGAGCCAGAAGCCAACTACCCATGACATAAAGAGGTGTGAGTCATGTTTGTTATTAAGCTCCTCAGGGGCTTAATTTTACCAGTTTGAGTGATTGCTGGGAAATTTTACCAATGAGAGTGATCACCGATAGAAAAATGAAACAGCAATGGTGACTCTTCCTTTCTCCAAGTGATCTGTTTCATTGTCTTGACTGTATCTTGGCTAATTCTGCTCAACATTAAGAGGCTGGGGAGGCAGGGAATAAAGAAATTTATCTATCCCTATACCAGTGAGTGCCTCAAACCATATTATTTTCCCATCCTTGGGAGGAAAATCAGAATTGTTTTCCAAGTAGAAGCGTGAAACAATAATCTAACATTCTGCTGTTGCAGCAGTAACTTCAGCATTTATTTCATACTATTGTTAATGCTTGTTTATAATATGAGGATATATTTAGGTAGGAAGTAAAGTAGATGAAAGCACAAGATATAAATATTTCTGTATATCTGCATACAAATGAAAATATGTACAGCCACAGATAGTGGTGCTCTGCTGTGTCAGGGCAGAGCCACGTGAAGGACTGACACGTTCCCATTCCTTCCTGCTGTGAATGGCTGCTGACTTCCATGGCTGCTGACTTCCATGGATGCTGACTTCCATGGATGCTGACTTCCAACAGCTGCTGACTTCTATGGATGTGCTCCCTATAGCCAGATCACTCCACTCTCTGCAGTTTCCTGAGGTTGGACCAATAGTTTTGTGGGGGAAGAAGCCAGTGGCACATTTCCCCAAGGATTTGATGGATCAATGTGGAAGAATGTCAGTGACTAAGGATATCACACCCAAAGGGCAAAGAGATAGAGAGCAGGAGCTTGCTGTTTTTTTTACTTTCCCACTGGACTTGGATTTCGCTTTGTTATTTTATGCTAAAGGCTCCACTGCTGTCTTGTGGACCCCATAAAGTCCTTCTCAGCCTACCCTACTCTCACTGCCTCCAGGATTCCAGGGGATTTTTTTCATGGCTGAATTTTGTCCAGCCTGGAAAAATCAAGGATATATTTTCCTTCAGCAATCAGCTCAAAGTCGCAGACCTGTGTAAAAGAAAGATTAAAATTAGTTGTTCATTTCAGGGGATTGACCTGAAATCTTTCCACTTTTTTATCATTCAGAATGGATGATTCCTTGCTGAAAATTAAGTCTTTGGCAACAAAGGCAGGTATTGCTGAAAAGTTGTAGCATTTTCCCTTGTGGGATGGTCCTAATGGAGACTCAGTGCTAGAAGGCACAGGCTGGTGTGAGCCTTAGTGACTGTCAAACAAATGGTGGGTTTTTTTCCCCCAAGGGAAAGTTTCCATATTTATTTCTCAGAATACTAAGGCACTTGATTGCTGGACATCATTGGCAGCCACAGGAAATATTTTGGAAGAAGATACCATCCCAAATGAAGTTTTGTCTTCTCAGAGAGCATTTTATTGGTGAGGAGAAACATTTTTGGGTCTGTTGCTTTTTGGGAGGTTTTGTTACCTTCTTATTTTTACTGGTGTGATTGTTGCTTTTCCTCCTACCATCTCTCCTCAAGTCTGTGTCTTTACAAGATAAACGATGTCTGGTCAAGGAAATGTTTTCTCTGAATAGTGCTGGGGTGCTGCTGCTGCAGTCTGAGCTCCCAGGTGTGCAGAGGAGAGTTTTCATTTGCACACATATCTCTCGACAGTCCTCTCGCACTTCTTACAGGTCACGTAGCAGCACCAGTGATATTTGCAGTGGCACCGCTCCACCACCTTGTCCATGTAGGGGTTGTAGCCTCTGCCACAGCACATCAGGTCGCAGCTGTCACTCCCATTGGAAGTCTTGTTGCATTGCCTGGAAGAAGGAAAAAGCTGTGAGCAAGTGCAAATTCCTGATGGGTTTTCCCAAACCCCTGCTGTGTGGTGCTGCTGGGCCTGACAATTCTGCAGGGCTCTGGGTGAAGCCAGAACAGTGAGCACCAACAGCCCCCTGTGCCTGCAAGGGTGCCAGGGGAAGCCCTGGGCTGCAATCACCTGCTAGGACACCCAAAATAACATTAAACTCCTGTTCCGTCTCTCAGTTTGGGCCTGGCAGCATCCAGGCTGCTTGTCTGCTGGGCCAGCCTGCTCCCACATGAGCAAGCAAGCAAAGCTATTGGAATACCTCAGTAGTAATACTAATACTAATACTAATAATCCCAAACAATAGGTGTTCCCAGGCAGGCTCCAAAACTGTCTGAAAGGAGCTGGGGGAATGTCGCAGACATATTTTGTGAAAAATGCTTTTGCCAGGATCTTTTCTGCTGAGAAGCTGAGAAGCTTCATCTTCTCCATGTTTTGCTGCTTTGGAATGTGATCTGGAGAATTGTTTACCCAGCATGTGAAATTGTTTTTACTTGATGACCAATGACAGCCACTTGTGTTGAGGTTGTGAGCAGTCACAAAATTTTATTATTCATTCCTTTCTATTCCTTGGTAGCCTTCTGATGAAATCCTTTCTTCTATTCTTCTAGTATAGTTTTCATATATCATTTTCTTTTAATATAATATATATCATAAAATAATAAATCAGCCTTCTGAAACATGGAGTCAAGATTCTCATCTCTTCCCTCGTCCTGGGACCCCTGTGCACACCCCCACAAAGGAAGATGACACCCTAAAGAACAAACACTGCTATTTGTCCACCACTGCCTAACCTGAAAAGGGCAAAGGAAGGACCCTACAGCCAAATAGTATTTGAACAGTTTCCATGTCAAGGATCTCAGGCTGGGAAGAATCCTGAGCAGGCTGTTACAGGCACTGTAACAGGATCAGTGCAGCACTGATCCTATCAGGGAAATCACCATCAATACCAGCAGGACTGGACTGTGCACCTTTTTCCCTTTAGTTTTCTCCCACCACGGCATGATCAGCTGGGCAATTGGCCCCAAAACACCTTTATTCCTGACCCAGGAAGTGTGGCAGGAGCACAGGGTAGGATGACAAGTCACCAAGTGCCACACAGGCTTTCATGGCTTGTTTTGCTTCTGCTTTTAATTAAAGACAGGCTCAGCGGGATAAATCAGCTATTGTGCTGGGTTCCCTCATTTTGTCTGCTTGCCAGTGAATGGTTTGAGGTTTTCAGAAGCAATCCCTTAATTGAGGAATCTCTTTTATTGATCCAATGATTACCATTTCACATCTGTCCTCAAAAAACATCAATCCCACCTCCTAAAATACTCCAATATTCACTGGATGTGAAAGTGCATCAGGCATTGAATTTTGAATGCAATGAACCATGTCCTAGAGATACCATTTCTCCACAGACTGCAAAGACAACCCAGGATGGAAGTGTTCCTGTTTGGTCAGATGCTTGTGCCTTTTTGGTGTGTACCCAACACCATGGGCCTGTGAACTTGATGGTCTTCTGAAACTGCTGTAAGAAAGGTGGTTTATTGAGTGGGGTGATTGCTGACATCTCTCCTAAATCTTATTCTGTGTGGCTATTTTGTGTCTATTTTGGACAGAAACACTCCAAGGCTGCTTTGGGGCCAGAAGAAGAGAGAGGAGCATAAGTTGGACCCTTGAGCTAAGCAACTGTTAAGAGATGAAAACAAATTCATGAGAATTACAGGAATTGCTCATGAGGTAATGCTTCAGGAGAAGTTATGAGATTAGTGAAGCGTTGAGATTTTGTTCTTGCTCTTCTTCAAGTTTTTCTGTTTGTTATTCTGATTCACATTCCTCTACAGGTTCAGTGTTTAAAGGCCCCCAAACTCACTCTCATTCAGGAGTGTGTGTAAATATTTAAAAACCTTTTAAAGCCTCTACCAAAGCTGAAGTGTGCAGCCACACTGAATGTGTTTGCCCAACACTGAACCAAAGCCTGGTTAGTGCCCCTGTGAACTGGGGCCCCTCCACAAGAAATCTCCAGAAGACTCCTCATAAATGTATTAATAAATGCTTCAAGTATTCAGAGCAAAGGTTCAAATATAGGTGTGTTGACATTGGAAGAGGGGAAGGTATTTGTCAACCTCACTCAGCTTTGCTAGTGGATGGAAATCTTGTTTCCTGGAGGTTCACCTGGGGAGGATGGGGAATCTGCAGAAGCCTGGCAAGGGATGTGCAGTGCATCCATGTCACTTCATGCTGGGAGCTCACTAAAATGCCAAGAGAAGGAATATGAGTCCACTCTGACTCCAGCTCACCACTGAGGACATTCACTCCCCAAACATACAAAGCACACAGCAGTGATATTTACCCCATTCAAATAGAAAACAAAACTCTTCTACCTGCTGTACTGGGACCTGGGATTCTCTCTTTCCCTCCATCCACTCCTGTGGTTTGCCAAAAAAAAGGGAAAAAAAAAGAAAAAAGAAAAAAGAAAAAAAGTGACTCTAGTAGAAGATATGCTTTCCCATATACCTTTCCCATTGCCCACAGTCTGAAACTAAGAAAGGAAAAAAGAAAAATCTTATTAAATAAATCCTCACACTTCCCTCAGTTTGCTATCAGGAAATGGGGACATTCAGAATGGGTGGGTGGAATAGCCAAAAAAAAGTTTTGACCCTATCATAAACCTATATGGGCTTTTAGAAAGATTTCCTGACAATGCCACTAATCAGAGATTTTGTTTTCTGTTTTAAAGCATAGGCCTGGATATGAGTTAGATTCATTTTTCATTAAACAAGATGAAGCAGGTGGTTTCTCAGGCAGTGGGGGAAGACAAAGAACTCCAAAGACCAGAGTTTACCCACAGAAGCAGCCCTGAACAAAAGATTCAGAGCCTGCAGTTGTGATCTCACCAGGCTCCCCACTGATGGGTTAAGTTCAATCTCATTTGTTTTGGGCCTGGTCCAGCACAATTCCAGCACTCAGAGAAATGCCCTCCTCCTGAGCCTTGGAGAGAAAACATGAAGGCAGGCGACTGCCTCGTAACACAACACTGCGACCTCGAGAAGCACTTGGAACACTGCTGAGAAATTATCCTTCAGCTGTAATCCCAGCCAAGGTTCTGGCTCCAGAGCAGGCTTTTACCATTGTCACAAGGTCAGCAGTGTTGTCTAGACAACTCCCACTCAACATGCCTGTCCCAAATGCCCCCTTTCCAGCCCTCACTTGCAGAAGCACTGCAATACACCATACAGACTCAGCAGAGCTGAAGGACACCCCAGAACTTCTAAGAGTCTTCCCCCAGATGGAGAGTAGGGATTTTAATTTTAAAAGGGGGAGCTAATAGAATTATTTTGGTTAGAAAAGACCTCTAAGATTGATGAAATCCAACTTAGCAATGTCACACAGCTTCATTGTGAATCCCTATTTACTCTGTCCCATCAGCAGATAGGACACATATTTTTTTTTGGTTGCACAGCTGACACCTGGGATCCAAACTGAGGCCAACTCTCTGCTGTCACCCACAATTATGACATATACTGACAGGGATGAGTTACCTGCTGGAACCTCACTCCATCAGTCCTATTGATAAGGACTTCTTAAGGAGGATATTAAAAAAGTCATTCTGGGGCACAGCAACTGCCTTCCCGGCCCAGTGCATCTCCCAGTGGATGAGGGAGATGCTGTTACAGGAGTAAAACATAAATCCAAGCACTTTCTGTAGCCCTTTTTCTCATACACTGCCAGCACCTGGGCTGTTGCATTAGGGATGATGGAAGGGATGTTCCTTCCTTGACATCTCATCCCTTTGGCTGTGTGATTGCCTCAGCCCTTTCTGACCAAAGAGAAACCATCTGCCTTCATGAACTCCAGCAGTCCCAAATCCCAGAACACAGTACTGCTGTGTAATGTTTTTTTCTCTTTTAAATCAAATTCCTATTTATTTTTTTGGTGCCCCTTGCTCTAGTAATGTCAAGTAATGCAGCAGTATATAAAAGAAAGAAAGAGAAAAATAATTCAAATCCCTCAGGAGATATATAACACAATGGACATTCCTGAAAATACATCAAGGTCACAGCTTCATGTAAGATTTTGAGGGAAGAATCTTATCTACTTTTAAATTGCATTCTCATCCACAAGGAATGACTGGAGACTGACATGGAACAACTGTACAAGAAAGAGTTATCAGCATATGTCAGTGAGGAGATGTCAAGAGAGATCCTGGAATTAGCCTGTATTTTCATTAATGAGAAGTTGAGAGTGAGGTTAAAAATTTGGGGACAACGCTAGGGAAGAAGGAATTGAGGATATTTTGTGACAGTGATTTAAAGTGCAAAGTAAGCAGCACACTTTGAGAAAGATCCAACTAAATGTGGCATGTTTCCAGGGGAGCCAGAGGAGCAGTTCAGAAAGTAGAAAACAATGAAGGAACTGATTTAGAGAAGTATGTTAAAAGAGGTGTCTTCCCCTCTATAAAAGATTATTGCTACAAGGGGAGAGAAAAATGTTCTTTATATGCCAAGGAAAGAGTACAAGAAATTATTAATTTTATTTTAGATTATGTTTAGTTAAATTTTGATTAAGAAAAACCTAAACTGAAGATTGTAAAACCCTGGATCAGGTTGTTCAGGGAAACTGATTTTAAGACCAGAGTAGAGAAATATCTTCAGTAGCAGCCTAGGTGGTGTCAGTTCAATCTTGCTCCTGAAAAGATCAAGGTCCATGGAAAATCATTCCCAGACCCAACTGTCTCTAACTCAAACGCCATTTGGTTGCAGAGGGACTAAAAATGTTTAAGAGAGCTCGATTCATTATCCATTGCAATTTACTGTGTGAAATTATTCTTTTTGCAAATAAATTTATTATTCACAAACCTCTTCAGGAAACTTTATGATCAAATCCAGGTCTCTCAAAGTAGAAAGAATTCAATCTTCCCCACATATTAACTAAGATAACAAAATAATGCATAGCTGGCCAGCCTAT